CAGGACTTGAACCCCAGCATGTGTGACTCCAGCACGTCGCTGTGTGTGTGTGTGTGTGTGTCTGTGTGTGTGCGCGCGCTGGTTTTCTGTTGCACCTCGATGCTGGAATTCTTGGGCTCCATCTTCCTTCCATCTGGATAAGTACTCTCCAGGTTGCCTTCAGGTCTTTAGGGGTCAGGCCTGCAGAAACACATTGCTCATCTGGGGTTCTGTCAGGAGGGCCGGGCTCCGGTGTGGGACCGGGTCCGCCCGCCATGCCCAGGAGGGTGCTCTGGAAGAGCTGGTTCACACGGGTTCGAGATGAGGGTTTTGGCTGGCTGCCCTGAGCAGGGCATTTCTGTGGTTGGGGTGACTGCCCACAGAGTCGTTGAGGTCATTGCAACAGAGTTGTGGGGAGTTGTGCTAATTTCTGTAGCTTTGAAAAAAAATTACCCCATTTGGGCTGAATGTTGTTCTAATGATAAAAGACCCCACCAGTCCGCGTGTGGGAGGCGGCAGGCATGGTGGGCAGGGCCAGCTGCATGCGTCGAGAGAGTGGCCTGCCCAGGCCTGCGAGGGCAGGGGCCGGGGGCTGGGTGGAAGTGCGGTGAGGAAAGCTTCAAGGATCTGGAGCCTGAAAGGGGCAAAACCTTAGTCACAGAGCTGAAGGCCGAAGGCCGTGGACGGGCAGAGCGCCAGGGTCGCAGGCCGAGCCGCTCCCCGCCTTGGTCTGGCCGTGCTGCCACGGGAGGGATGCCGCCCTCTCCTGTCTCTGCCTGCGTTCACTCCCCTGCCACAGGCTCCTCTGGAGCTGCTGCCCCGAGGCAGCACGGCCTGGAGCCACGGCCCCTGAGCAAGTGGCTGCGGGGCACTCACTCGAGCCCCTGCCATTCACGCCCGCCGGGAGATAGGACAGAGACCAGGGCAGAGAGCAGTGCTGCCCAGCATCAGGCCCAGACCCAGGGAGGAGCAGACCCTGCCCCGGGACCTGCCCACCCACCTGCCCAGAGCCGTCTGCACTGGACTCCTGCTCTGCCCACAAAGGGGCCTGAGCATGAGGGGCAGCCCTCGATGACCAGGGGCACCCCGGGATCGGGTGGGTTGGGAGCCTGGAAGGGGGCACGTGTCTCAGGCGCGTGCAGATGGAGGCCAGTGGGGAGGAGGGGTGCGCTGGACTTCTGGACATCTTGGCCTGGAGACCCGGCACCCCGAGGCCAGGGAAGCAGAGCCATGCTGGTTTATCTCTGTGGCAGCCACAGCCGCTGCCCAGGGCGGGGGCAGCACCAGGACCCCGAGGCCTCACGGAGGAGCCTGTGGTGACATCTCCCGGTGGTGCCTCCGCTGGCACCTCGGCTCCTCTCACACGGAGCCTGCAGATGCGCTGCCCCTGTGGCGGCCCCAGAGGAAGGGCGGTCCCTCCTGGCCGCTCTGCCGGACATGCGGGGTGTGGCTGATAGTGACCATGTAACCCTCATGCCTGTTGGAGACATTTGAAAAATAAACTAATTTTTTAGCAGAAGTCAGTGAAATGTCTACTCTTGTCCACACCATGTCCTGGGCTCAAGAGACGGGGAGAGAAGAGCCCTCATGTTCGCTGCTCCGTCCT